GGAGAGTAAAGCGTACGAGAAGATTAGCAAGAAGGAGCTTGAGGGGATTGTTGGGAGGGTGTTGGATGATGAGGAGGTTAGGAGGTTGAGGAAGGGGAGGAGGGAGGGGAATTTTCATGAGATTCTGCTGGATGTTAAGGTTAGTGGGAAACATGATAAGTGGGCTTGAGGTCTTGAGGTGAGTTTTTTTCTTTCTTTTTTTCCTGGTTTGGGAGAGTTGGTGCTGATGGGATGGTAGTGTTTCTGTCCTGAAACAAGGCTGACTTGGCTCTGTTCGCCACGATATATATTCGAGTTGTGCTAGCTCCGGGCTTGGGTCCTTGATGCTGAGGCTTTAATGTTCTCTCTCGCCTATTGTCGGTCTGGCCTGTCGACATCTAGGTCACTGACAGTCAAGACAATGGAAGTGCGTCACGCGAGCTCAGACCAGACTGAGAGAAACCCCAACATATTGGCTGGGCTTGATGATCGATTCAGGCAGACCCGGTAAGGGAACTATGGAGGTGGTGCATGGCACTCTGCAAGCCTTCGAGGGCCACCTAGATGGTGGTTCATTTCTCTATCAACAGAGCGACGCATCTAATTCTGGACGTACAGCGAAGAAAGCCATAAATGACACAAATCTCCCTTCTGGGGTTGTATGAACCCATTTTATATTCTCTCTGGTAATCGCAGGTTTCAAACTTTTCCGATCTGTGGACAACTTGTATGTTAAGAAATTATCAACGGGATACCAAAAGCAAACACGAGAGTATCTCAAATCAAGGATTCAACTTAACTTCAATTAACACAAACAACACACACATCCATTTGTAGATAGAGATAGTTCTGATTATGGAAGACATGATTCATCACGGAAAAAAAACAGATCTATGGCGAGAAGAAAGGGCGGACGGTAATGACAGAATGGGGGAATGTGTCCGGTAGAGCAGCAAGCCTTGGGTATGAATTCTAACAACAGTAGTACAGAACAAGACCTCAAAACCTCGATAAAAACGAGGTACGGGGGGCACAGAAGAAGTATGATAGACCAGCTCACGGTGAACATAACACAGAGAACGAACGGCAAGCGCGTCCAGATGTCAGCGGAAAGCATTCTTTGAGGAAGAGGGAGAAAAGATAAAAGACGAGATAAACGAGGTGGCGATATCTGGGTTGAAAAAGAGAAAATAGCAAAGCTGATCAGATCTAGGTTCATAAGGAGTCTCTTTTCACCGCGAGAACAAGCCCCATGATATGGGACAGGACGCAGGTGGGTAGTGGGAGGGCAGGGTCAGACGATTGTACAGAGATAGGCGAGGAGGAGCGGAGATTCAAGAGAAGATTCAAGAGAAGGAAAGGCAGGAAAAAGGATTTAGGAGTTGAGCGACAGGCCCTGGAACCGGTTGATCCATTCGCCCTGCGCTGGGTGCACACGGGAAGAACCATTGGAGCTACCGATGTTGCCGGGATATTCAAATGAATCTGCGGGACCAAAGCTAGATGGCACATGTGGGGCAAAGGCATCCGAATTAAGCCCTTCTGAGTGGCGGGATGGCTGAGAAAAAGGCTGGTAGGACTCTCCGTAGGATGTGCGAAGCATGCCCACAGGGTTCGGCATATCTCGGCCTGTGTCGACAGAATCTCGCGCTCCGCCATAGGACCTACTGTCAAGTTGGTGGCGACGGTCTGCTTCCTGGGCATAGAGGGGATTGGGAATGGTGCCAGGACCTGACAGGCCAGACGTAGGGGGTGTGACAAAGGAGGCCGGGTTGATAGCTGACATCCAGATGCGGGTCTTGTAGATTTTGAACAGATCAGTCACCAGTGAGTTGAAGTTGATGTACGAATCAGCAAAGTAGTAGAACGTAAGTTTTTTCCAATCCCTGCGTAACAATTAGTTCAACCATCACGGATGGCAATCGGAATGGTGTAGACTTACATTTGGAACTCGGCATCGAGGATCTCCATATTAAGCCGGTGCTCAACCACTTTTTGCTGGCAGACCCGCTTGGCTTTAGCTTCATTTCCTTCCTTATCGTGCAAGGTGAGGACCTCATGTTGCTGTGCCAACCGCTTGATAAGCTTTGGTTTGATGTCTGTCGCGGTTTCCTGCACACTGTGAGGACCATGGGGACCCATGCCACCTGTGGCACTTCGAGTGTTCAAGCCCGTGTTGGGGTTGGCGAGGGTGGACCCCTCAGGCTGGCCGTGTCTAGAGAAAATCATGAGGGTCTTGTAATGCTCTTCTGCGTAATGCTGCTTCAACTCCCGTGCCTGTTGGAGTGATATGTTTGCATGAATGACGGTGCCTAGATCTGTTCCTCGGTCCGCTTCCACAATGACTAGATCACCGGTTTTCACCTGAAGACCGGTATCTTCTTGGATGTAAAAAACATCTGCACGGCTGCATTTGAAGGCGACAATGTACAAAAGCTGATTTTGATGAGCATGTGACAATGCGGATGACTGACGCCCATATGCATTCGACATCGCATATTGGTTGAGAGATGGCGGGATACCCGAGGAGCCATCTCCACGCAAGGTCTGTTCACGGGAGTAGTATGGTTCTGCAGAAGATATTAGCATTGAATGATAGCAAAAGCAAAAGGGTGTAGAAGTATGTAGACTCACGGTTGGAATAGTCACCAAGGTTACTATAGCCGTCATCACGGTCTCCTATAGTTGCGCGAGGAGTAGCAGTCGAATGCGAGTCCACAGAGCCGACTGAGCCATGACGCATCGGAATCTCGGCGAAAGAATGTCGGCGACTTTGCGGCATGTCAGACATGCCACCGAAGCCTAGAGACGTTTGCCAATGAGCCTTGCGGACATTATCTAGAGCACGATTCTCCAGCGGAGAGGCGAAGGACGAGAATTGCGCTTCCGGGGGCGCCAAATGCTCAGAGAAGCGGCGACGAGCATTGCCACGCATGTTGTATCCGGTAATATCACGCAATTCACCTAGGTCCTCTACAGCCAAATCTCCCTCTGGAACGCCGCCTCGGATGCGATGTAGTGGATGACCCCCTCCACTGCTTGATGCAACTGATCCAGCCCGTTCACGGTATCTGTTATCCATTTGACCTGCCGCGGCTGCTTGCCGTAAGAGTGCGTTCTCGCGGGCCAGCTGCTCGATTTGCCGAGCCTGACTCGCTGAGTAGCTCATTTCACTTTCCGAGCCGTTGAAACTCTCGTCACCGTCATCATCATCATCCTCGCGGACTCGACCAAGCATTGCAGTATCATGTCCTAATTCACCGAGCATACTAGGCCGTGATGCTCGAGGCTGAACAGCAGACATTTGACCAGGAGCACGGGAGCGACTTCCTGGGTATTGTGCACCTGCACCGGCCTTGCCAGCAGCCAGGCTGAGGAACTCTGGATCCATCTGACCAACAGAGTATGACTGAGAGCGATAGGTTTTGAGAGTTGGTTGTAACGGGATGGAGAATGGAATGGCAGAATCGCCAGAGATAGTACGGGTGATAGGGCTCAACATTTCGTCTGGTATGTTGCCGCCCGAAGGAGGTGGGTTGGTCATGGTCGGAGAGGGTATCATTTCTGCCAAGCGAGAAGGCGGTTCCCTGCGTGATTCTGTGTTCCAGATTCCTGTGCTTGTGCCCCAGGGAAGCGTACTTCCTCCGGGTTGGTTCCAATTGAAAGATCCGGCAAGATTTGGGCTCGTAGCTGTCGCCCATGATGCCTGATCAGTAGCAGGGCTTGTAGGGTTAGATGGGGCGGAAGAAAGGTGGCTTCCAGGCAGCGAATGTTTACGCTGAGCGGAAAGAGGCACTTCATTCAACCAAGAGGTGCGACGGACTGGTGGTCTGGTGGTAGGGGGGATAATGTTCTGGGCTTGCGCTCCATGGTCTCCATCATCGTCAGAGGAAGCCAAGGCGTCCGAGTCCGGGGTGGAACGGCGCACGCCTGGGTGAGTCTTCTCGAGGATGGCAGACGCTGTTGCCGTAGCGGGTGGGGATGATTGAGCCATCGGGGTCGATTTGTTAGATGGCGATGCCATTACGGTTAGAGGAACACTGTTGCATTGTTAGTATCGAATTCCCAGTATAATATGTGTGACACATGCGATTATTCCTTGCAGACTGTATCACCACGAGCGCCACTTGAAACCTAGCGAAGCAACACAACGGCTGTCTGATCAAGGAATAACTCGAGGTCATGGAGGAATGAGAAGTAGTTCACTGACCTGTACGATCTTTGTTAATAGCAAAGCTGTACTGGATAGATGTCTCGTGGTAAAATGAACACATGCGAGAAGGCACTCGTCTTGGTTCCACGCGCTCGATGAGATTGGAGTCAAGGTCGATTCCTGCTCTTTAAGCGAACGATGGATGACTGGGCGATGTGCTATGTTCAACACCGGCTAAATTGAAGTCAGTGATTATTCCCATATTGAAATAGATAGTAAAATGGAAAGAAAAGGATAAACGAAGGGTAATATAAGCATATGTAGGTATGGCATGACTGAGAGACGCAATATTAAAAGCGGAGATTGTGCATATATGCATATCCTCGGCCCCTCTTGCGAGAGGGTCCGGAAGTGGGGATAGTCAAAAAAAAACCTCGATCAAGAGACAGCTATGCGCAACTGAAATCAAAGGACATGGATGTGAAGGAAGAGTGCGAAAGGAAGAGAAGCAGATAGCGCCACGGAGAGGCGCACACTGCGTAAGGTATAGGAAAGCAAAGCGACCGAGAATCAGAATCGCACGTACCTCAAGTTGGTGTCAAATACTCGAGAGAATCTTTAGCTGGTTTAGCTGGCGCGTGTAGATCACCATACAGCTCTCAAGCAAAATAGTATCCACTTGGAAACGAGAGTCGAAAGTGAAAAGCAGTCGCGTGATCGCAATTGTGTCTGGAGAATCACCCATGTATCAGCCCAGTCGCGTTCAGGACAAGGCTCGGCAGAAATGTTGCGCGACTCACCACTCTAATCGTTTCTCTCGAAATCTTTATTTGCAAGGTGCGCACGGTTATTGTGGGTCTCGTCAAGAATGTTGGGGGAGTGCTGTGTCCGAGTTGCACAGGTTGATTTCGTGAACGGAGGAACGAGGGCGATGGAAGAGGTCAGACAGGACTGGCGAGCAGTAGGAGTGCCTTCTTTGCGGGGATGGGATGAGGCGCGTGTCAACGAAGATGCTGAATCCGGATATTCGATGACCGGTCTATTGGAAATGGAATGCGCTAGGTTTGCACGATCGAAGCTGTGACGGCAGATGACGTGGGGGAGGGCGGAATTAGGCTGGATCCCCTTAAGGATGGCGCATCTTGCGATCGAAGAAGGGTGTTGTGTAGATGATGAAAGTGGGAGAGAGAAGAGAGGGGGAAATGTAAAAGATGAGGGGAACGCAAAGAGCCTGGGGTAACTTCTCTTACGGATCTGGCAACGTTGCCCCGGAGGACACGGGCCACTATGGTTTGATCTTTGGTTTTAGAATTTTCAGTTTCTTTTAGAGCTTCCCTTTTAGAGATGTTTAAGTCGATATTTTTGTAAGATGAGACGTGCAAATTATAAAGCAGACCTTATTAGGAACATCCTACACTTCCAGCGATATATGGAATAATAGAGAATTGGAAGATCGTAGGGAAGACGGAGCTCTCCATAGGCTTTTGGCTAAGTGGCGTAGACCCCCCAGAACAGGCGGGTCCCTTGGAGAAATAAGCCGATCATCTGGGGTTGTGGCATTCAGTCAGAAGTACGTATACGCATAGAACACAGTAAATACATCTCTACAGAGTACCAACAGCCTAGTATCTAGTATCGCCAGGGCTCTATCTCACGTCTAATCGAAAGAAAGCCCTCGCACGGCCCTCGGGTCACACGCTTGCGGGGCAGGTTCTTCCACTTTACCCCGGATTGACGTGCATTTTCTGACACTTCATACCAGCCCCTCCAATATCAAATGAGCTTCTTCTCACCTCGAACATCCTCCTTTTGGCTTCTGGACTTCTCTCCCGGAAGCTATCTATAAATCTCTCTCTCTCTCGAATATCAGGAAATGCATCTGGACCGTTGAACAGCTTTGTGCCACACCGTCGTGTGGTACAATAATGACATTGTCAACGTGACTCCTGTACCCCTCAACCCCTCAATGGATGATTCCACCCCTTGTGCAATATAGGGAAAGAAAATCTATCAATACTGTCAATGGGGACTCAAGGATCAATGTCCACTCTGTAATTGCGATTATTTAGAGCGAATCATCTTCTGCTCCGGGGCTTCCGACCGGGTTTAATCCCTGGCACAAGATGTTGCAGCATCCAGCCGTTGGCTATGGTTCATTTTAATTGTTTGCTAATGTAGGCGCTATAAGGTGCATTTGAAAACTGGGTCATGTGTCCTGTTTTCTTCTTTTCTTTTCTTTTCTATCCTTTTTCCTTTTTTTCTTTTGGAGTAATATAGGACCTCCGAGTTGGCTAGGAGCAAGGCAATGTTTCCATGGTTATGACACTTCGATCTACATACATTCCTTGATTGCTTCTCAACCCCTAGAGCCAAGACATGCCAAGCTAGGATAGTACTACACGGACTCTGATCAATTGATACAGTACGTAGGTACTGTAGGTACTGTGTATGTATCGTTGTACTATGCAATACGGATAATTGTGCATATGTAGGATGTGGTCATACCCAAATAAATATTGTGAAAGACCAATCATTTACACTAGTACTCCGTAGCATGCAGAGCAAAGTGGAGGAGTGGTCAAGGTGGATGTGGCCTAGTCAGTGGGGAGAGGAGCTTGAAATGAGGACTCGCTAATTGGTTGCAGTCACAGGCAAGGGCCAGTGTACGACGAACCACAGCTCCCAACCTAAACCTCATCCGTCAGGCCAAATATCTAAGCGTGACGGTTGACGTTATGCTAGATGCTGCCTCTGCAGATGTTTACACACTCTCGCGTAGCCTCGTCGCGGTTCTCTAGACAAGCATGCAGTTTTCTATCGAATCAGTTCCATATCCGAAAGTCAATGTCGATGTCCGCACTCACCAGTCGGAATACAGCTGGTTCCAACGAATCTTCTACAGATAGAAGACCTGGTATGTCCCAGTATAGGCTGATTGAAGACGTCGAAGACCTAGACAGATACCACTCCGGAGGATATCATCCTCTACAAGTCGGGGATGCGTTAGACAATGCCCGCTATCGAGTGATAGACAAGCTTGGGTATGGAGGATACTCGACCATATGGCTAGCCCAAGACCTGCGAAAAGCTCGATATGTGGCAGTGAAAGTGATCACTGCTGATGCTAGTGGCTGCACGCAGGAGGCTAGTCTTATATCTTCTCTTGGAAACGCACCGTCTAGACCTGGAAGAGGAGTTATCCCGCCCCTTGTCGACGAATTTTGGGTTGCCGGTCCTAATGGCAGGCATAAGTGTATCGTCAGTCCGCCTGCATGGATGAGCCTATTTGATGCCAAAGAGTCTTCAAATTTGGCGCTTTTCCGACCTAAGGTCGCGCAGTCGATTATCGCCCAGCTTATTCATGGAGTCGCATTCCTCCACAGTGAAAGCATTGTACATGGCGGTATGGAATACTTATACATGAGTCTAAGCGGCTGACAGACAACATTTTCCAGACCTTCATTTAGGCAATATCTTACTCCAGTTTCCCAAAGCAATAGAGTGTTTCTCCACGTCGGAACTATACGATAAATTCGGAAAGCCAGAACCAGAGGCTATTGTCCGTCTCGATGGAAAGCCATTGACGAATGGTGTACCAGCCCAGGTGTTCGTTCCCGGTTGGTTTGGTATCCGCTGCGAGGATATTGATTTTGGCGACGAGAGGATTATCCTAAGCGATTTCGGGGAATCATTCAACCCAAATATATCACCCAAATTCTACTCGAAGACCCTTCCTCTCCTCCAGCCACCCGAAGCCAGATTCTCGGACGAGCCGCTCTCCTTTGCGTCGGACATCTGGACACTTGCCTGTACAATCTGGGAGATTGCTGCCCAGCGCCCGTTGTTTGATGCATTCTTCCCAGCTGCCGACCGCGTTACCGCAGAGCAAGTCGAGGCACTTGGCGTTTTACCTCCGGAGTGGTGGGAAAAGTGGAGTGCAAGACTGAATTGGTTCAACGAAGAGGGCGAATTGAATTCAAAACCAGGGATGTCTGCGCGAAGGGACTTAGGTCAGAGGTTTGAATACTCTATACAAAAGGCACGGGTTGAGGCGGGCTTAGAGACTATGACGGAAAAAGAAAAGAGGGCGTTTGAGGCAATGATTCGGTCGATGCTGATCTATCGGCCAAACGAAAGAGCAACAGCTCAACAGATATTGCACTCAAAATGGATGAAAGACTGGGGTCTACCAGCGTTGGAACAGAGCTGGAGTACTTCTACGAAAGAGTTATGAGCAGAGGGGTTTTATGTGAATGAATATGGATAGAGGCCATAGTTTGAAGTTCCATAGAAGGGTAAATAATCTAATTACGCAAAATTCATATCAAAACTAATCTACAAGGTATAAACTCCCCGATATCGTATTTTTACGGCGCGCTGTCCAAAGGCGCAGAAGCCGTAGCAGCAGCACCCTTCTGCTGGCGCAGCTTCTCCTCAAACTTCGAGAACTCATGCATGGAAATAATCTCCTCTTCATCCAAAACCTGTTCAACACCCTTGACCTCCTCAATCTAAAAGCAAAGTTAGCAATCAGCCTTTATGTCAAACCAAATGAACGGGAAGGCGTCGATGGACATACATAGTGCATAAGCATAGACTCAATACCATTCTTGAGCGTAACCGTGCTGGAATCGCAGGTCCGACAAGCACCACGCAGCTTCAGCATAACAATACCACCCTCAAACCCTCTCAATTCGATATCACCACCGTCTTCTTGGATAGCGGGGCGGATCCGAGTCTCGAGCAATTCCTTGATCATGCTGAGAACCTCGTCATCATCCTCGTTAAAGGCGAGCGAGTCCTCGCCACTCTCTTGCTCGGTACCGATGGCACCCTCGATCGTCGTCACAATCGTCTCGCCAGATGTCACAGCTTGCGTGATGATGCTGAAGACTTCGGGCTTGATATGCGCCCAATTCGCATCGCTGCCTTTCGTCACTGTGATAAAGTCCGTGCCATAGAAGACGGATGTGACGCCGTCGACATCGAGCAGTTTCGCGGCGAGCGGGGATGGGTGTGGTGGTGCAAGGGTTGATCGTGGTGTCATATACTCGAGGAATGTGCTGGGGAAGTCCTCCGGGAGGACGCGGTGGTTAGGAATGAACTTCAAGGCCTGGAATATCGGAGATGAAAGGTTAGTTCGGTTTCTTTCGTTAAGATGAGATAATTGAGCTTTGGGAGCTTACGTCGGGGTTGGGGGTGTTTTCGGTTTGGATGAAGATGGTGCGCTTGCTGGTTGGCGAGAGGCCGTTCACTCCACCCTGCGAGGCAGGCTGCTGGTGCGGTCGCACTGTTGGTCGGCGACGGGTCTCTGATGCTGTGATGGTCGGGAGTCGGGCTGCGCTGGACACATATCTGTAGCGTGCGAATGCCGGTCTGATTGTTCGGGCGGAGCACTCGACGGGAGTGGCCAGACGGCTGCTTAGCAGAGCGCGGCGGAACATTGTTGTAGATGGAGTGCTTAGAGACATTATGTTATAGAATGTACTGGGCAGAGATAGTTGACAACAGGTGAATAGAAAAAAAACACTCGAGGGTCTCCTCGGCTGCCGCTCTGACGCAATTAAATTACACGTGACCTGAGGTCATAGCCGGATGACAAATGAGGAGAGTTTTCTGGCCAATGAGAAGAGATGTTTTGCACAATTACAACTAATGGATGTGCCGACTGTCGGAGGTTCCAAGCTTGACAAACCAGTAGGTCACGGTCAATTGTCATCCTAAATCATATATCAAAACGTAATTTTTGTAACTCATTCTACACTTAGATCAATTGCAAGCTTACTCGCAGACTTTTGGAAGATACCTAAACTTCTTCCCTGTGTCAGCCTCGTAGCAAAGGCTATCTTTTGAAAACGTGGAAATTCCGAAGTCTTATGATGGAAGAACATGAAGAATGAACTTCGCCTCACACCAGCTATACTTTTCAGAAGCTTGGCTACTCAGAATGAAAGTCGTTCGGTAGACCATGTGATTCAGCTTAGTCTCAAAAAGGAAACTCGGTAGATCCGAAAAAAAAATATTGAACATCCGAAGGCTTGATATATGCAATGATTGAGCTCAATCCCAAAGAGGAACTGGCTATGATGACAAGGCCATGCTATATCAAGCTTTTTAGCATTTCACAAATGTAAGGATGAGTCCATCCTTCAGGATAGCTAACAATATAACACGTTGAGGTGCTCTTGCCACCGAGTCCTCTCCCATAGTTGATGTATAAACTTGTATGTATAGTTCCGTTTCAACCGCGTCACACGGCTGATAGAGCAGATGATGAGTCCAGAATGGATAGCAGCGGTAGCCACAGAGTTCATCATCTCATTTGTTAGACCATCCCGATTCCGAGAAATGGCGATCAGAGACAAGTAGCCGCTTGTCTAGTACAAGTTTCAGTGCTACCTGCATAATACTCGCAGGCGGAATAGCAAACGGATAGAATAGTGGAGCCGTCAACGCTTCACTGATGGGTTGAGTCTAAGGCTGTGATGACTCGAAGAGGGCACCGAAAGAAACGTAACTGGTCAAATTCCCTGCCTATTAAATGAAGAAGCAACACAGTGTACCAATCACGCATTGCATATCCATGTGGCGAGTTAGATCTCCTCGGAACAAGAAAAAGGTGTCGTTTCTTGATGGAAGACAACATGATCTTGACATGTCATGAATCAACCCATGGAAACATAAGCTGAAAGGCAACTCGCAGGTGGCAACAAACTGCACTCGCGCCGGGGTTGATACCAGATGCACCTGATATCCCCGCAAGTGATTGTCATGGCCACGGTACGAATGTCATGCTTTAGCTCCCCGAGTGGTGGATAAAGATAGGATCTCTTGGGTATCCCGGGTGAACGTGGCTCTTGATGTATCGCATGCAGTGTGGCTTTGTTCCGTCACACCATAGGGGTAGATTCTGGACGTGACGATCAGGCCCCAACCAGGTCCCCGAGGAAAGTTTTGGTATCCCCTTTCCAAATTTGCCATGTATTGTGCAGCCTTTCGATTTAAATATATAGCACGTCATGTATTTATGTAGTTTTTGTCACGCGTGCTCATAAATATTGAGTGCCTGAGGCAGAAGCAGATGACCCGCGTTTAGTTTTGTGCAAATCATTCGGTCGCTCAACTTTGGTGTTATCCTGCATCATTCTCAAGCAGGACGTGGAACAGACAAAAATGAGGGAGCAATTTTGATCGCTGTGCAGCTGATGGATCCATTGGGAAATCGACACAATGCCTGGTTCCTGTGAAGTTTGCTCTTTAGAGCCCTCAAAATATCGCTGTCCCACATGCGCACTGATGAGGTACGGACTCGATTATGATTCTATCCTATCCATAAGTGGACCAGTTGCTAAGAGTTATTGATTTAGTTGCTCGCTTGCATGCACCCAGTCACATAAGATATACTGTGCTCCGAAAGTACCATCGAACGAGGAACCGAGTGACACCCCAGCGCCCGATGTCAATCCCACACCCGAGAACGATATCAACGGCCCTGCACCTACAGAGCCAACTGGCACCAATTCTGCCGTTATGACCCCCGCAGCAGTGGGGGCATCGTCAGAGATGAAAGAGCTTCTCAGTCGGCACACCGAACTCCGCAGCCAGCTACAAGATATGTTCCAGTCAACGTTGGAGGAAGAATGGGTGGAATCCTACACAGCTCCCGCGCGAGGACGTGGGCGTGGCCGCGGGCGAGGTCGTGGGGCGTTCCCTCCTCGTAGTCGTGGCTCATGGACGTCCGAGAAAGGGTTCAACCGCGGCCTGGGCAGAGTTCGCAAGCTGAGGCAGGATTGCGAGGAAGGGACTGAGACTGGCCAGACCGCTGAAGCTTTCATGCAGTTTATGGCACTTGTCAAGAAGGGCAAGGAATCAGCCTGAGTCATCTACATTTTCTTCTGGGAAAAATCGCGTACGAGTTGAATGGTCGGCACGTAAGTGAGACATGCAGATTGAATTTACGAGATGGTGGGACTTTTTATCTACCTTCACTGTTCCAATAGAGTAGCTGTCAGATTTGACAGCTACAGCCATATTCAGCCTCATGCAAGTTATGAATATTCGGCCTTCTTGGGTTTTTACATGGTTTCCTATTGCATACTACTCCCTCCTACTACTCCCTCCTAGTGCTGACAAGCGCCTTTGCCAGTCCACGGGTGAAAGCACCGAGCACTGAGCTTATGGCGCTCATAATTGTAAAGTGCAATATCACACCACATACAACGCTACCATGCGAGCCAAGACTAAAAGCCGAAGTCCTACATAATGTAAGATTAGCGGCGCTTTTAGCGCCCAATAAAGCGGAGCATATCACAAACGGCCTAGAACTTCAAAGACCGAGATTTCGGTGGAAAAAGTACTATTGTACGGAGTACGAAAACTTGAATCTGCATGTTTCTGACTAGTCACATGGAGAATCTCAAGGCAAGGGCAGATGAGGTGTATAAGCTGTACTTTGTAGATGACCTACTTTGTAGGACCGCAAAGACAAAAATCCTTTTATTTCCGGGGGCAGGGGATGACACGGCAGTCAATGCAGCTACTGCAGCTACTGCAGCCCTAGTCAATCAATACCAATTTGTCTAGAAATAATGCAACGCTCTGTAGACCTGTCTAAGCGAGATCGTCCTAGACCCAGCCTCGGTTCTAGTGGCCACCCATTTTGAGACATAGCTGAGCCGCTTTCAAGAACACGAAGATCTCTCGGGCGTCCAGTGAAACGACAGAACCCCATTTCATGAAAAGAGCACCTCAAACCAATTTCATGTTCCCCAATCTTTGTGATCTGTCCATATTATCTGTTTGCTTTATCTTCCCCGTTACTGCCAAGACCAAGATATCCGACGCAGCTCCGGCTAATCAGGGTAGTTTTCAAGTCAACTCCCCGAGCAATTTTGATCACACACCTCGGATGGCTGCCTCGCTGCTCAACCGAACCTGATCTGTCCTAATGATGGATGCGCTGCAGTGCTCGTTCTCTGAACTTACACAGTAATTGGAGCGCTGTCACACCGATCCATTCCGTGGCCTCAAGAATTGCCGACCGTTTCCGTCATGATCTCGCAGCAACCTCGCCGGGAGAGAGCTTACAGCGATAAAGCTCGAGGAATGCCCGCTACAGCTTCACAAAGACCAGGCATGGGAAGCCGGACTTCTTCAGCCCCACCGGGGGGCCTTTATAAACTCGACGTGGTGCGGAAACCGGGCACGGGGACGAAGGTCGAACACACATTGCTG